AGCTGGCGGGGCACAAAGCTGCTGTCTGAAGTGCTGTCAGAATGCGTCTGCGGACGTACAGTGAAAAAGAACAACCAGCCAAAGCCATGATTGTAATGGACAATCACCCGGATCTCTCCCGATCGTCTGTGTTAGGCACGCAGTGAAAATATCGACAATAGCTAAGAATCGTTCCACATTGAAGGGGTCTTCCACGATCAGGCACATAACCAAGGCACCCGGGTTAGCCACGCCATCTCTGACGGGTCTCTCTACAAAACCAGTGACGACGTCATCACATAGAACCAACACCGAAAATCAGGAAAAAAANCCACGATCAGGCAGGCTCACCTCCCATACATAGGGGTCCAACAATAGATAGTTAAATTATTTTGCGCGAAGCGCGAAATTCCCGCGAAGCGCGAATTTTTTGGAGAATTATATTTGTTTTTTTTTGTGGAAAGCATAAAAACACGCTGATGTGGTGCACGTATACAGTTGTTTTGGTGCCCGTACAACACAGTTGTTGCGGTGCACGTCAGCAGTAGAGTTGGCTTTGCTCGTGGAGGTGAGGATAAGCGCTTCTGGGCTTGCTATGCGTAACCTTTTTGGTCGGGATAAACGTACATGTGATTTGGTTTGAAAACTTACTACATACAGCATCAAGATCAGAGAGCGCGGGAACAACCACGGCCAAAGAGTAGAGATGGGCGAGGAAACCAACAACTCTGACAATGTGGATCACTGCCAATCTATCCTGGACTACTTTCTTGGATAGAGATGGATTCGTTGTGTCATAATATTAAGAAAACAAAAAAACAACACAACTACAAGTATTGTTTCCAAGGGATCACCCGCAATAAATGGTGTTCGGAACTTCGCCCAAATATCCCGGACAATACCGTCACACACTTCATTGTGCACTTACTCACTACTGGTACTAAATGCCATACCGAAACCCAAACACACACGCACCATATTTTCAACCATCCGCTGAGCAACACTTCGCACAATCACACCGGCCGAACAACTTCTGCCCCCGCTGAAGCCTTCCTGTTCTCTCACTCTCCGGCCGACGCTCTCCTGGTGGCACACTGCAAGGCGGGCTCCCCGACTTGTTTCGCGGGTGAGCTTGCGCGCTCTTGTACGAGCCTTGCTGTTTGCGGTGGCCGCAAGTTGTGCAAATCTGCGGCTCCCGCGGGGG